TTATGGTAACTACCTGTGAAAGGCCGGTCAGGTATGACAATAGCCAGCCTAGGAGGGGGCCCTAAATTCCAAAGGAAGCAATCTTTTTAAGCAGCCGTTTATGGGGCACTCGATCGAATGCCTTTTCCATGTCCAGGAACAGAAGTATGATTGCGTATCCTTAATCAATAGAATCCGAAACTTGGTTTGGGTAATGTAATTGGCAGGTTATACATCATCGTTTGTCCAGGAAACCATACTGTGACCTGTCTATTAGCTCCAGTGAATTGATGAATTTCATCACACCGTTCTTAACCAGCTTCTCTAATATTCTGGCTACTACAAGGTTGTGATGGATTGGCCGGTAATTATTAATTTCTTGTTTGGAGCCACCCTCGTGACGAGGGATGATGAGCGATGTTTTCCGCTGGTCTGGGAGGTAGCTTGATTCCAGCTATGTTCAGCATGTCAGGTCCTCCCAGATTAATGATGACAAGTGGAATACCAACGGAATCCAGATGGGAGGACGGTTAAGGAGAATTCATGAAATTTTGAATAGCAATGATAGAAAATTCAGTTCCACGGGGCGTTGATTGTTTGCACCCCAATGCTTGCATTTAACGGGGTCGTCTCCAGGCCCTTGAAGGTTGCGAAAGATGAGCTAAACGCTTCGCAGATGTCGGCTGGATCATGAAGGAACTGTCCGTCTGCACTAACCAGTCCATCGGTCAAGAGGGAGTGGTTAATAGTTCTGCGACGCAGAATTTCAACAAGTTACTTCGTTTTACATGTCGTTCGTAGAGCCATTTGTTCTTAGTGTATCCTCTTCGTCAACTGTATGTGCTTGGCGCTGCCAAGGATGTTGTGCGACTGTAAAAGCAAGGTGAACTTCCGTCTTTCTGTGTCCAGCAATTAGTCTTCTGGGTTTCCGGCTGACTGAACGCACGATTGCGTCCTTTTGGACACGTGTGATCTCCACGTCTTGGGGGACAGCCGTGGCCTGATGCACCCGATAGTAGAAATAGTCTACGGCATTACACACATTGTTAGAGAGGAAGAATGCGTCCCAGTTGGCTGATCTGATAAATTGTTAGAATTGCTTCCAGTTTATTCTATGGGATACATATTGCGAAACAAAAGCGTGTTTGATGACCAATTTGACGCAAAATGTGAATCGTACCATCCTGTGGTCACTACCTGAGAGTTGGTCTAGTTCGTCTGTTTGTGCACTTGTGACCCCCAATGTGAATATGAGGTCTAGTATACTAGTCGCTCTTGTTGGTTCGGTAACCCACTGTATCCAGCCACCAATTCTGAGAGAAGAAACGAAAGCTGTAGGTGCCGAGGAGGATGGTTGAGAGTACCAGTTAATCTTTGGTAGGTTGAAATCACTAGAAATTATCTTCTCTGTGTGGCATTTCATCAGCAAACTTGAAAGCTGGAGTGATGATGGTAACACTCGCAGTTGACGCAGTTGGTGGGTTGTAAACACATCCGCGTAAAATGTGAGAACCGGTTCCTAAGACGGATAAACAATAGATTCTGAAACATTTGTTAGCTGTGGATGATCAAGAAGTTCTGCTGCAAATGTACAGTGCAGGTATATCATGCATCCACCTCCTTTGCCTGTGCCGCGATCTTTTCGGAAGAGGTGATAATTAGCAATCACTAAGGTGGAGTCCAATGTATCGGGGAAGCACCACATCTTAGGAACGATGATTGCTTTTGGGTCGTTGATATGTGCAAGCTTGTCTGGGAAGTACAATTTGTTGTTAATAGATCTGGCATTAGGTAGAAGTATAGAAAACGGACTATTAGGTTTGGGGTCATCGGGTTGCGGTTCATTGTTACACGCGTTGTCGTAGTCAGGTATTTTGGACGCAAAAGATATAACTGGGAATACTGCGATCGGGTCTACTCCTAACGAGCGTGCTAATATGGGTAATATGTCATTTGTGATTGCCGATATTGCTGTGGACATGGAGGTGGTTGAGGGAGCAAGTCTAATTTGCGATTGGCGTGGCAGTTGGATAGCCGAGTCGTCTGCAAAATTTGCAGGAACAGTGAGAACAGGTAGTTGGCTTCTGCCGAGTATGTAAGCAGTGGGAATGGCAGCGGCTCCATTCCCGCCTGTTCCAAAAAGGTGTCATACTGATGGGTGTTGCGAAGGGCTGCACACATATGAGACGGGATGAGAGGTGGCCTTGGCTTCGTGACATAGTTTATTTTCTCAGTACTGAGCTTGTTTTTATGTTACGGAAGAGAACTATGGCGAGGGATATCCAGAAGACAATTGTTCCTGGTTTTTGTAGGCCCGGGATATTACTTTATACGGCGTTTTTGCGATGTATGTTGGTAGATCTTGTTACTTTCTACCTTGTCCATCATAGGCTTAAATCTTTTGTTGGATCCGGTGAGTGGCTGTGACTTTTCTACAATATTGGGTTGACTGCCCATGGGGGACCTTTGGGCGTTGAGTTCAGCTTGCGACACAGCTACAGGGCCCTTGATACTCAGCTCTTCCCAATGGTTAGAAGTTACTTCATCATTTATGAACGGCGAATTCAATTCCGTTGGTTCACAGGCGTCCAGATTTGGGAGGTAGTAGTTAGTAGGAGTTGGCTTAGGTGACATTGCCGTATCGTCAGGAACAGTGGTGATCGAGGTCCCTATCGTCTGAGGTGAGTTGTCGTGATCCACCTCAAAGTGCTCAGTTGCCACATTACCTAAATTCTCCTTTTGAGCCTTGGTATGAGAACACTTAACCCAGATGGCCGTTTGAGCTAGTGATTGTGACGAAATATCACTAAGGAATCTTTGTAGAGGCGTGCGATCTGGTTTAATCAATAGGTCTTTGACTTGAGTCCGCTGGGCTGTAGTGAATTGATTACTCAAAAAGCGGACCGCAGATTCCTCAGATAAAAACTAAAAAAACGATCAGGTAGCAGCATTTAGGTGATTTCTTTTTCAGACGAAGGCAGTTACATTCAATTTCGGACACGCTGCAGGTCGTAAATACTGCAGTTTTAATTTTACCCAAACTAAGTATATCAGGAAGACTAAAAAGGACCACGTTTTCCAGTCTATTCATTCGTTCATGTACCTCAGACGCAATTGAGACGATTAACTGTCCTGTCTTTCCCATTTGGACTGGGTCAAGGCTTTCCCATCGGTTACTGAGATAGTCTAATGAAGCAAACTGATCTCGGATTGGTTCGACGGTGGTTACTATTTTTCTCATCTCGGAGAGTTAAGATTCCAAGGAGTTGACCTTATTACTAAGTTTTGAAAGAAGAGCAGTCATGGGATCAGGACTGGCTCGCAGTTTGGTCAGAGCCCCAGTTTTCGTTGGCTCTGTTCGCGCGGTGTATTAAACACTACTTTTAGCTTGTCGAGTGAGGCTAGGCCTTGTGGGTGCCATAATAATGTGAACTATACTGATGAGAAGGCTAGATGAAGTAGCTAGGGAAGTTGAATGGAAATAAACGGCTCAATCAAGATCTTAAGAGCTTGAGCTACCGAAAAGTGTCAACGCAAAAATAAGCGAATGCGATACAAATCAACCAGGTTTTAGTTTTGCGCCTCGGTTCAATAGGAGTTGTTCCGACTAATGTTAGTTCAAATAAATCCAGACAATTGCACTTGTCGAGGTTGCTCTGTGATGCCATTTCCGCTTGAGATTACGTGACTGCTCCACACAGGTTAGAATACTGTAGAGGAAATCCAAGATAGCCGACATCGACGGCAGTTAGGCCAAGGAATGAGATCTCCGAAAATAGGCGAAGAATATTCACCAACTTTGCGCAGATTGTACAATACACCAAAGGAAAAAATATTGGTGCAAAATTCACGCGGAAAGAACACGTGTTACACAGTTATCACGAGGCAAAACTGGTATCCAACACTACAATTCAGAAATCCGCGGCGTCCATGGGTACAGCAATGCATGTGTTATTAAGTGGAGTATAGATGTGCACATAAAAGGTGAGAATAGTGGATGACGGCTATTGAGAACTTACTTAAATGGGAATGCGGACGTTGGCATTTCTGGTGCGGTCCTACTGGACAGGTTGTTCACCCGATAGTTGGCACTGCCGGTACAAACAACCTGTATATTTGGATACCATTGTACTTTTTGCATATTTAATTTCTTATTATGACCACCTTTTTCTGCTACTTAAGCTTAAATCCGAACCTGTGAATTCATGTCACTGAGTGACACCTCCGTGAACTTTAAGCTTGTGTTTTAGCCCCTGCAGGATCTATCGAGGGTGTGGTTGTGACCTGTCACCGGTCGAGTTACATTTAAACTGTTGACGTGTTTTTAAGGTTCCTTTTCAGAAGAAATTGCGTTCTGCTAACATTGGATACCGGTATTGATATGGTACCTACTCTCCTGATGTCATTACCAGGAGTCCTCCAGCTGTTGCTTAAGAAGACGAGATGGACAGCGTTTCAGTTATGTGCAATCTATTTTTCGATTAAGAAATGGACTATGACTTGGTCTTGCTGTTCATACACTGACACACGTGCCCCCAAATTTTACATAATTACTCCCCTTTTGAAGGAGTGTGGGCAACCCATCGCAACCATCACTTTTATCTGCATGCCCGGTTGATCTGTTCACTTAGGTTTATGCTTGATGTAATGCCTGTGGATGACGCAGCAAGTCAATCCTGGCCTTTAGGCAATCACAGGACTCCTCGCTATCGCTTTTACTCACAGTGACATGCGAATCTGGAAACATACATTGCCAACACCTGTTATTTCAAACAGCCTAGTTGATCCCCGGTTCATTTTACCCATGGTTGATAAAGATCCCATAAACACCATTTAAACAAACCCTACTTCCTCCCCTATTACTACGTGTTGATACAAATAACGCAATTGTCTCCAAACACTAGGCTTTTCATCGAATTTTATCAAGTGGAAAAATTGACACAAAAGTGCGGTGTCAAGCCTTCCACCTTATCTACACTTCGTTCTACATGGCCGTCAATTTTCACCCCTTCCGATTTCAGGATATCGAAGAGCGAATTCTTTTCCGCATAAACAATCTACCGGAAGCGCCACCACCGGCTGTTATCTCTGGCCAAAAGCAAGGTCTGTCGGCTTGCCATCGACGGCATGCAGCTTTCGAGCAAGAGTTGGAGTGTCTCACCGACCAGATCACCCGACTGGCTTCCAAAGCGAGTACACTGTTTGTGCGTTATGCAGGCTCGCAGATGGAACAGCTGCAGTCTCGGCACAATCGAGTTCAAGAGGCATGGCAGCAATTGCGTACTGTCGCCGCGTCACGCAGCGAGCTGTTGCGTACTGCAAGTCTTCTTCACACGTTCCTCGTGACTGCTCGCGAGTTAATATTTTGGCTCGAATCTGTGCGCGATCAAATGGATATGAAGGAAAAGCCGAGGTAGGTTGCAGTCGGTACGCGTCCCTTAGCATGAGAGCACAATGGGGCGACTAACAAGGCTCCAAGTCATGAGCTTGAGCCTGTCAGAGGCATCATGAGAAACACCACACAAAACTCCCTCGAGAATGGGCTCCAACACAGTCCATGAAACAGAGCCGGCCTAGTAGCAAAACTGAGGTCATAAACTTTTGGTACCATAAGTCCACGGGTTCCGTTTTGATTTGATTTGACCGTGCTTTTGTGTCGGCGGTGATCGTGTTCGAAAATGGGTACAATGCGGACATTGTTCCAGTGCTTAGTGTGACGAGAATTTGCTTAAAAGAAATAGGTTCCAAAATAAGAGCAATGTCGTAACCACGCGCACATCCAATAACGGTACTAAGTCATTGTTCCCTCTCATGTTCATCTTGTCATCTGCAACCGTAGCGCTTTCTAAGAGCAACATACTACAACAAATTTATGGAAGTAATTTGTAACCCCTTTGTGTCCTGCTGGTTGCTAGTAAGTATTCAGTGGGATTCGTGCAACAAGCTACGTGCTATCCTTATCTGAGTTGCATCATTATCTCCCATTTGATTGGCAAGTCTCACAAACTTTATGTTTTGTTCAGATGGTTCTTACGGTGCCACAAGTTTTACATGCATACAACAGGGGGGAGCTTTTCTGGGTCTGTTATTTGGTGAGCATTGTTCCAGAAGGTATTAGCATCACATGTGTGTTTGAGATTGTCCGGTCCATCGACGAGATTCGTGATTTCGCTCGTTCGCAGTCACTTTTTACCAGTGGATCGCTACCATGATGCCGTCCACGAGTATCGAACCGAGTGTTGCTGTGCACATCTGTTAAACTATGCTAAAAAGTAAACCGAAAGGCGGAGCCGTTCTAAAAGACAGACAGCAGATAGTGCCATTAGTAATATATACTTGCATCTACTGTGTTTAAATAGGGCCACCAAAAGGATCCTAGTACTTTTGATAATTTCCTACCATACACAAATGGTTATGAATCGTTGTCGTATAGTCAGTACACGAAACTACGTCTCCTGAGACTGAAAGCAAAATGTTAAGGGAGTTCGCTAATACGTCATTTGCTACCGGTAATTAATCGTCAGGGTAAAGGAAGTGTACGCTTACTCCTGCATGCGTTTAGTTTTACCTTCACCAGTTTAATCCCAAACAGAATTCTGTCCAGTAAGAGATGCGGAATGGTACTGGTTTTTATAAATCAAATGGACATTTTTAACAATCGTTAGCTTCCTATTTTCTTCTTTCAGACTCTTCTGTGCATCTGTAATTCATTTATTGTTTACGAGCACATTTTGGTGATCACTAACCGAGCACTAATCTGGCCGACTCTCCACAGCAACCCGCCGCATGGAATCGTTTGTAGGATGCATGTGATCGGCGCGCGATTAGTACTCCATTACTTGTGATGTTTCATCGATGCATACTGATCGGACGCACTAGAACATTTCCTTCAACGAAGGGCACACTTATCAATGGTTCTGAATTAAGCCGCACACTGACACTTCGCGTTCACTCCAGTTTGCGGACGTGTGTTAAATCCAGGTTTTGACATGTAGTTTGTAACAGAACCTCCAAAGCAAAATTTTAGTTCGGGAAGTGAGAGCAGGGCTATAAGACACAAGCACGAGGAGGATATTTTTGCTTGCAACCTATTTGCTGGCACCACGTATCATTATCACGGGTGTTAGGCTATCCGACTTTCGGTACCTGCGTCTTCACTGTGTGCTCCTCCTCTTTTATTAAATCCCATTTTATTGTCCTCGTCCGAACCTCCTCGAGTAGCAACTGCATCCCGCTTGGGTTGTATTCAATTGCATGGGTTGAATCTGAGCGTTGTGTGAAGTCTGTTTTAGTCATTGGTACCTGGATCGATCTGGTCCTGACTGACATTGTCAAACACCATGAGGGCTGAGCGGTACACCAATTAGTTCAGTTAAAGTGCATGAACTTGTAAGCATTTGTGTCGTTGCTCTCATGAACTGAGCACATCCTATCGCCGATTCCGACCACATAGCTTCCAGCATGCCCGAAACATGTTGATGAACGATGTTCGGTGAAAGGTGCAATTATTTGCTCATGCTGGTTATGGTGTGGAGTAAGAGCGAAAAAAATTTACGGAGATGAGTTTCTTCGAATACAATCACCTAACTGCAGTGAGTACCGAACTTATTATTATTATTACAGTACAGTATTTTGGAGGGAGGAGAATCAAAGTATGTTCATCTTCATAGAAATAAGATTAAAGGCTGAATAACTATTGGTGTTTTGTCTAAAAGCCCGTCGTTCATCATGTTCTATCACGGATGCAATGTATCAGATGGGCTCATCCCTCTTACTAATACCCCTATGACAACTGCGTATTCCGTTCGAGAACTTAGAATTCGCTACGCTGGTTGCTGCAGCTTCTCTGAACGCATTCCACGTCAAGTAGCGAAGGCGAAACACCTAACAAGCTACATCACTAGGTCATTTTCATTATCCCAAACGCGACCCACTTTAGAGTACTGTACCGTCATACTTATGCACTTATGCAAGACAAACGGAATTGCTTGGAAAGCGTTCAGTGCTCATTTAGCAAAATACTCACGAAGCGCTTACCAACTCTTACTTATGAGGAACGAGGTTCTTTACTCGAGCCTGACTCACTCTGGATTCGACGACTGAAAAACAACCTCGTTCATCTCTACAATATAATACAATCGGGAGTCTTCCCAAGCAGTACGGCTGTCGCTCTAAAAATGACTGAGTCTGTCCCAACCGTAATGGGAAATGACTACTACCCTTACAGAAGACCGAGCGAAATACTCGCTTATATTCGTATTTGTAAGTTACGCCTATCTGCGGAATAAAATACCGTTTCAACTAAGGACCAACGAGCTGATAATACTCGCGGTACAAGTGCTCATCCCACAGAACAGAACATGCCCCGCTAGTTAGAAACTGTACACAGTATATGACTCACTTTAAGAGGGGAGCCTCAAATGTACCATACCGTAGTCAAACGAATACGGTACCTTGTATCGAAAATTCTCGAACTATCCGTCCATAAGGGTCTTAAATTAAGACACCAATTTTACTCGACTTTTGTTTCTAGCAGACTGTTCTAAACATTGAAAACTTGCCTCCCGAGCCACGGAGATTGTGCGACTAGCCTCAGATCTCGTGCCATAAGCTTGTATTCGTCTTTATGTGTGCTTTATCTAACGCGTAGCTGGAGCATGGCGTTCGTGTGAGCAGCCATACAGATTTATGCACGGAAGTACACGAGGCGGTCGACTCTGACTTGACAAAATGATAGTGTGTACGGTCTTAGTCGTTTCCTTCTGTCTTAGTGCGATACGCTGCTGGAGATGATGGACCTACTCGATTTCATGCTTCTCAACCCGGGTGATCAGGCAGTAGACAGACGACCCATAATCTAGTATTATTCTACTAAACGAGAAGAGTCCAACAGCGCACTTTCCATACCAACTGCAGAAACCGTTTGAGCACCCAAAGCATGCGCTGTACGGCGGATGGTCCTTAATCAGCGATTCCGATTCCCCTCCCAAGAGGCTCGCGGTTCCCTCAACTGATCCGGATAGGAATACATCGCGCTGCAAGGGGGTCTGACTCAGTTGACTATGACAAGCGAACGAAAAACGGGCGATAGGTGACTGCGGATAGCGTTGCAAGCAATCAGTTGGAGGTCAAATTATACCGAAACGCAATCTGAGTCACTTATTCAACACTTAACAGATAATTATCTGTATCATTATTCGTGCCTGTCAACACCACTAAACTCCAAAAATTGCTATTTCAACCACATCTCATGTCTTGGATCTCATGAACCTTCTCACGTACTTCATCAAGACTAATATTTGATCAAACCGAAATCGTCTCATATCTACTTTTACAAAACTGATCATGCCTTCTTTAATGTGCCTCGTGTAACATTGAGAATATACGTTTTTAGTTTGTATTTATTTCGGCCTGGACTGTTCATATTTAGACTTCAAATCGCAGCGTTAGAGCTTTGGTCCTTGAATAAAGGTGTGGGGTGGAGGACCTGACGGTAGGTTCGGCAATCACTACCATTTCCCAGGCTCATGAGTACCGACTTAACCGAGTTGACCAAAACATGAATCTGGTAGAGCCAATGAAGAAGAGGTTGGAGTGCAGTTGAAGTAAGCCGTAAAATTCTGGGGTATTATTTACCGTCCCAACTTTAAGTCCTGTACAGATAAAACACACAGTAATGGAAGCAGATCAGATAAATCGTTGCTGGGAATCATAAACAGTTTTACCACTAGTCGAGAGACACCAGCCAGTAAGATGATCTATGAAATACACCCTACACTTTCTTCCAACGAGAAACTCTCGGTTCTACTGGTACAATGAGCTGACAACACCGCAACACCTACGGGATAGGACGTCAAAGTTCACTTTGTCGAGTGCCTTTCTTATGTCGATATCCTAATCCATTGCCTGCAACCGCTCATTTACTATCATAAGCATGCATCATCTCTCATTAAACAGCCTTGGGCTTCAGTAGAAGATCGTTCAACGCCAGAAACAACAGAAAGCTATTCTTCACAAATCCAAGTGGCATTCTTACGGAAGCACCAATTACCCAGGGGGTTTTGCGGAACAGTGTGTTCTGCTATGCCTGTGTCAATCTAGCTTGCCACACGATTGAACCGAGAACCTTTGTGCTTTCTTTCTGTAGTTGCAAACTGGTCTTAGGATCAAGACTGCGTTCGGTCTGAAACCGACCGACTGACTTTCTCAGTAACATAGCGCATTCTCGCGCCACCTTTGCCACTTGAATTCATACCAGGGTTCAGATGTAGTTGAACTAAATGTGATGGTTCAGATTTTAATATTGTTTATTCAACCAGCTGCCCGACTGATAAAGGCTAATTTTTTAAAACCAGTGATCAGTAGAAAAGTAGAACACCTAATTTAGCTTACATATTTGTCAACTCGAAAGAA